TTCAGTAAATGCTCGCTGACCCCGTCACGGCATCACTCAACCAAACCCCATTTCCTCTAGGCACTGCCCTCAACGCTCTGCGTGTTCTGGCTGTCCCCACGCCCTGCTCGGATGCCAACTCCCTCTGGCACACTGGGATGGACTCTCCAGCGTGGGCCCCGGCTAGGGCAGAAAGGGAGGTTCAGAGAGGCCTGCCCAAGACCACATAGCTGGTAACACAGAGCTGGGACCTGACACCAGGTCTTCCCGTTCCAAGCCCAGGGCTCTATCATCTGCACCCTCGTGTGAATGAGACACGAGGTCAGATGACCACTAGAAAGTGGCAGACATGACGACCAGGGTCCGGCTGTTCTAAGCGTAAGAGGGTTGGGAAATCATACTGGAAGGTGAACTGTCATAAAGGGGACCTTCTCGCTAGTGACCGTGAGTCTCTTTTCCCACAAAGGAGCCTGAGGCATGCTCCTCCTTTCTACCCCAGGCAGCCTCTCTGTAGACTATTTCCTCTGCCTGAATGTCCTGCCCCTACCGGGAGGAGCATTTACTGTTTTCTGTCATCTACAGGCTATTTCTCCCTCTCTGGCGGTAGCTGTCTGATTCCTTCTGGGGAATCTTCTACTCCTCGTTAGTCTACACACATTCTACTCCAGTCCCCAGGCTGGCCCTGACTGGCCCAGCCATTGACCCAAGATGAACCAATGAGACTTTTGCTTAAATTGTTGGGGGTGTTCTTCTTTTTCCTGAAGCCAATGAGCTGACCTGTTGGATACAGCTTGGAGCTGTGGCCACCACTACCACACACCACCCTGCTTGGGCGCGGAGAACGCTAAGAAGTGGAGAAAGGCAGGTCCTCATTGACATTTTTGCCCCTGGATCCAGCCATACCTGAAGCCAAGGATGCTTAGACGTCTCAGTTACATTTAGCTAATCAATGTTCTTTTTGAGTAATCCATTTTGACTGGGTTTCTGTCATCTGCAACTAAAACAGTTCTGACTAAAACAAGATCTCACAGCCAGTAAGTGGCAGCATTTGGATCAAAGCCCAGGATCTTAACCACTCTATTAAACTGGCATCATCTCTTCCTCTAATCTTTATGCCAGTTCCTAGCAACAACCCACGCCCATCAATAATCCCAACAGCTGACATTTGCTCAGGGCTTGACAGCCCAGAAACTGCTCACACATACCACTTTTTAAAAAAAACAATTGAGGGCGCCTGGGTGGCTCAGTTGGTTAAGCGACTGCCTTCGGCTCAGGTCATGATCCTGGAGTCCCTGGATCGAGTCCTGCATCGGGCTCCCTGCTCG